ACAAAATTTATCATGTAAAAAACACTGTTTATTAACATATTTGAGGTTATGTAGCACCGTAAATAAATTTTTAAACAAAAAACTATTTAAATTGTCTTGAAATACAAATTATCCTGTTTTAAATGCCGTTGCGTTTGTCTAAATATCTTTTTTTTATCGCCGAGATATCGCATTTTGAAATTTTTATAATTATGAATTTCTCAAAATTCGAAAATTCATTAACCCTTCATTACATGAATTTTTCTGTTCAGTGAATTTACTTGAACATTGTTACTCGGGAATTTTTGGGGTTGCTGATCACGAATCTGAAGTCAACGCAGACGAACTCGTATATACCCACACGCACGCATGTTTTCAAAATTCTATGAGCATAGATCGAAAGTTCAAACAAGTTTACTTTAGAAATGTCTATTCCTAATTTCTATTCCTGATAAAAGGTCAATTAAAAAGAGTAAAAAAATCGTCCACTTAGGACTTAATGAGTTAATGGATTTTCAAATTTTGAGAAATTTATAAATATGAAAATTTCAAAATGCGATATTTTGGCAACAAAAAAATATATTTAGGTAAACTCAATGGCATTTTGAAGGGAAAGATTTTTACTTTAAGATGCTTTAAGTAGTTTTCTGTGATAAAATTTATTAACAATGCTACATAACCTCAAATATGTCAAAAAACAGTGCTTTTGGCACTTTTAGGTCAGGATATCTCAAAAACCTGACGTGATGGAGCAATTCTGAGATCAGATTTGGATTCAGCGCTCCAAAATCCTTCGGAAATACCATAGCTTGTGATACAAAAAATAATCTATTATTTATATACCTGTGTTATTGTTAGAAAGTAAAAATAGTAACGACGACGGAGTAGAAATTCCTCGAAAAAATCAAAACATTAATTATAATGTAGTAATGTTCAATGAAGTTAAGTAATATAGCATTTAATATATTGGTTAATGTAATTAATACAGTAATATGTTGAATACATGTTTTAAATAATAAATGTTCATTCATGGATATATTTCTTAAGTATTTGAGGTATTACATGTAATATATTAACTTTAAAGTGCAAGTTAAAGGAATAACGAGTACTTCAACTCAATTATTATGCAAACTTATGCATAATCGTACTAAATAATTTTTACCTGCCATTAATATCTGAATTATCATGTATATTTATCAAAGCTTAAACAAGTGTAACTGTGAGTGCTTATAATAGTTTCTTAAGTATTCCCCTTATAAAAAAGAAACCCGACCAAAAATGAAGCCAGTTTATTCGTGATCTGATTGGTTGGGATATAGTTACATGATCTGTATTAGAGAGAGAGGGAGAAAAAGAGAGACAGAGAAAGAGAGACAAAGAGAGAGAAGAGAGAAAGTAAGGTGACAAGTAAGTCAGTGACCTTGTGATTGTACAGTACGTAGTTCGTCATTTCAGCAGTTAAGCATTATTTGTTCCAGTTTCACGCGGATAGATAGGTAAGTTGAGCAAGCGTTTAATCCATTTTAATCGCAGTAAATTAATAATTAACTGAGCTTACTTCATTACATTTTTTAAAAAATAAAAAAGAGAATCTAACAGAGTGAAGCCAGTTTCTTCATGATTTGATTGGCTGAAAGAGAGTCACGTGATTAGCTGTTATGTAACAGCATGTATATGTTGTATACACTAGTAAAAAATTACTACAGATTTTTGCAGATTAAATGTTCGAAAAGTATATCAGTATAATTTGCATGAATTTAATATCAGTGATCAATTTAATCATATTAACCTCAAAATAAAAACGAACTGATACCTCAATATATAGCAAAATTAATTAAATTTTACTTTATGAGAAAGTTTAGCTTTGAATAAATAAAGTAAGTTGTGACGGGACCCTGGCTAGAATACCCGGCCCTGTCTGGCTCTCTCTCTCTCTCTCTCTCTCTCTCTCGCAGCCTCGCTCCTTCGCTGTTGCCCTGGCGAGCGTTTAGAAATTACAAACCGATACCGATGCTCGCGCCGCTTTATTTCATGGCCAATACCTGAGCAGCGCATCGTCATTGGGAGCCAATCAAGAGCGAGAGCGGCTGCGGCAAGAAGAGGAGAGAGACATTGACGCGTCGCGAGTAGACAGTAAGCGAACGCGTGCGACCCGCGGCGATCCGCTCGCGAGAACGAAGCCGCCGGCGTTGCTCGAGCCGGCGCGCGAACGGTTGGGGAGAGAGTTCAAGCCGAGATCTTGAGATAGAAGAATCAATTTGACGGTCGAGCGTGGGCACGCGAGAGAAACCCGAATAGTCAAGCAGAGACAAAGGAGCTTGACGACACCGAGCAGAGTACAGCCCAGAGAGGATTTCCATCGACACCTGAGGCATCGTAGAATTCATTCGAGCCTGCCGCAAGCCTGCCAGCAGCTCCAGCAGCATTTCCTGCCAGCAGCACCAGCAGCGATTCCTGCCAACAGCCTTCATCAGTTAAGTCGTCTCTCTCTCTTTCTCTCTCCATTCACGAGTGTGCGACGCGTCGGCGAAGTGCTCGCGATCTTCCGCGAGCACGGCGAAATCGGCGAACAAAACGAGTCCCTCTTTTGTAATCCTCTCAAATTATTGTAACGTGCCCCCCTGCGATTGTCCGCACGAGCGCAGGCACGCGGCCGCAGAGGTAAACTCGCGTCGTCGCTCTTTGATTGTTAAACGTAGAGGAATAAATATTGTTAACTGTTATCGGGAGTGATTATTGTGTGCGCCCGTCATTCCTTTCCTCTCAATGCAAAGCTCAAAACGCCAATTTAGTGACGAGGCCCATCGTCACCGTTCAGAGGAGCAAAAGAGCCTCCCTTACCTTCCCCTTTCAAATAAATTGTGATACGGCGCTTGGGCATGGGCCCTTGCATGGCTCCTGGGAATTATATTTCCCCGAAACACGTTAAATTTAAAGAATAGTGTTACAAAACAATTAAACATATAAAACTATAGCTTACCATGATCAAATATTGTACAATAATTTCGGCTTTATTAAGTTACATAAAATGTTAAATAAATTTTTTGAAAATACACTGATTACATCTGTGAATGCCTACTGAAGTATGTTATTTACATCGTACATAATAAAATTGTAGAAAACTACAATGATTTTAAAACTTTTTAACTCATATTTTTATTGTATGTTTGAAACTTTTAAATAATGATTTTTCAACACATACCTTCGGATGATAAAAACTTAAAACTTTACTAATAACGTTTTTAAATCATTAATATCAAAGTAACTGCATATTTATCTATCGATAAATAATATCATCGAGTATATCTCATATAAAATCATAGGAATATTTGAATTTTCAATTCCGTCAGTAAAAGTTTTATGTATTAAACCGAATACGAAAAAATGAGCGCGCGAAGCACGCTATACATCACTAGTTGATAATTAAATAACGAGATGTTGAAATTCGTGTTTGTCATGTTTTGCTATAGCAAATTAAAACAAAATCATTGAAATCTATCAAATAGAAGCCAAGATATTGACAGATAAAGAGTAAAGTTCAAATAAAAGCACTGATTTTGAACGCGCTATTTCAATTTCCATAATCATCGTCCTTCCTTTTTTTTGTCGCTCCTGCCGCTCAGAACATCAATTTAACATTATTCAGTCAACTTTTCTGCAAAGAGCATATATGCTATATTCATTTTAAAAATGGCGATTGAATGTTTTTCGAAAAATCAACACGAATTAATTTTATTAATTTTTACGTCAGGCATAGTTTTGCAGATAAGGTTTTGCATCTTTGAAAGTTGATATTTCAAAACTTATACGACCGATTCGCATGATTTTTATTTCAATGTAAAGGGCTTTCCAAGAACTATTTAGTGATACTTGTTATTTTTTTCCTACCTAACAAACTGCTTCAAAATCGAAATTTTTAACAAAGCCAAAATTTTCTGCTGAAAAAATAGTCCATAAATAGGGTTGAAAAAGAAAAAATGGCAATTATAATAATGCAATATTGTAGGCGAAGCTACAGAGTATAAATAAAAAAATTCGCGCCAATCTATGTCTGGCACTTCAGACGCAGCATTGACGCTAACAAATCGTCTTGTTTCGAGAAAAAATTAATTAACAAAGCTTGTACGAAAAACCGGTTGAACTGATTTAATCGGGTTTTATGATTTTTGTTTATTATACCCTAAAGAACTTAAATCTAAATTCATAGTTGATTCCAATGATTTCTTACTTGTGTGCTGAGCTCGTAAAAAACACCTTGATTTGAGACATTTTTATCACAGTTGTCACTAATTTCCGAGGACACATTCAAACCTGCGATTTTCTCGATAACTTTATCTTATAGAGAATTTAATAAAACACAAATTTACTGGTATAAATTATTACTCTAAAATGCATATTTATCGAGTTATTTAGGAAAGAATGAAAAAAAACTGATTTTTTTCGAATTTTTTTCACTTGCGAATTTTTTCTGTAAATAGCTCACGATTTTCGACCGAAAGAACCTTCAATTCTTATTATTTACATTATTTCCGATTGATTCCTGCAAAAATCTCGTCTGCGTCACGCCGCACCAAAATTTGCTGGTTTTAGCTTACAATTAGTTTTGCTGGGCTATAATATCAGACCACGCTGCAAGTGCTGACTTATAAACGAATGGTTTTAGATCACGCATGATCTGAGAGTGCTGATTTAAAAACGCATCGACCTCAAATCATATAGTGATCTGATGCCGCCATGAGCTGAAGCCTCTCTAGTTTATCTACTGTTACCATTGAAACATGAACATGATAGCCTGCAGGAATTGTAACAGCATTAATTATAAAAGTAACGACATTCTCATGCAGGTTTTCTCAAATTTATTGTTTTAATAGAATTTTACCGAAAAATTCTAACAAAAATTTCAATCTAAATTTCAAAAAAATTTCACTAAAAATTTTTTTATACGTAAAAATATTTCCGAAAAATTAGAATCAAATTATTAACTAAAATTAATATTTATATGAAGTATTTAAGCAACTTACAATAGCTTGTTGCTCAACGCCATTTGGAGGAGAGGGGCTAAAACTTGTTTGAGGTGGTGCAGGTACGTTAGAATGTTGAGTAGTAGGCGTCTGCCCTCCGGTTGTGATTTGCTGAGTACTTGCATTTTCTTCCTTAGTAGGAACTGAAGACGATTTCATCTCTCCTGTTCCAGGAGGATTGATAACTCCTACTCCATTTACTGAAGGAAATACACCCCCACCATAGGGTGCAGCCATACCTGTCTGCACCATATGCTGAAAGAATTAATATTGAGACGATTTATGTCACAATTATTAAGCTTATTAAAATATGATACAGATCGTTATAAACATGAATGACAGAAATTTAAAAATAAGATGCATGCTTGGTAATTATTGAAAGATTTCCAGCAAATTTTTATATACCTATGCTATGAAAAAAAATATATATGTAGGATTAATAATATATATATATATATATATATATATATATATATATATATATATATATATATATATATATATATATATATATATATATATATATATATATTTATTTATTTATCAAAAACATTTATCAATGAAATTAAGAGATTTATAGTTATTTAATTTCGAATTTTACACTTGCATTACGTTTAGTTGATGGAATTTTGCATTGGAAGTTACTTTTTTGCTGTTTCATTCGGTGTGTGTTGTGTTGATTTTTTCCGTTTTTATCTAAATTCATGTTACTAGCTAATTTTTCGCATTTCAACTTTAGTAATTTTAATACATAGTATGATTTGTTACGATATTCAAAGTTATTTTAAGGTCCAACATCCAATTTAGAGTGATCCTTCTAAGTAACTACTCTTTAAAGGCCGTAATCGAAAATTACCAAAGCTATAGATTTTAGGGAAATAGTGGGATGGTAAATATGAATTTTACCCTAACAAAAATTATTTATTTTTTCCATTTGAAATTAGGTGTGTAAGATACTTTCAATAGCGTCCTTAAATAAGACAAAGTTTTCAACAAAAGCTGCAAGGTATCAAGGTACATCGGTTTCTGTAAATGGAATGTGTTTTTTTATTATTGTATGTGATTTTCCGCTGAATAATGAAGAGACTGTATAAGATTTGTCGCTAAGAAATGAAAAATTTCTGTCTAAATCATTTTTATGCTTTCTTCAAAATCAAAATGATCTATTTACTTTTGATCCTGATTATTAGGACAATTTAGAAAAATTATTTTAAAATGCTAGACTATATCAAACAGAATGGGTTGACATCATTCTGATCCTTGGCGAATGTCGAAGCAATGACTCTCGAGCAGCAAATTTATAGCGGGCGTTTCCTTGTAACTGCTTAACGCAAATGTTTCAAAATTTGAACGTAATATTCTTTATTAATTGTCTGACATGTCGGTGCATATTCATGATCTACAACACCTTCACTATTGGAAAAAAACAATTAACATTGACTTAATATTACTTCGACTTTGAAATGCTTTTTTCGGTCTTGGCAATCCAGAGTACTTCCACTGTAAAAACTGTTATTTTGTTTCAAGATTATAACTTTTTATTTATTATTATAACTATTAAGCACAGTATAATCATTATTGATTATTACTATCCAAGCGATTTCTCAGCGAAGCTTTTCTTGCTTTGCACTAAGCAATTTCGGATTGAATTTGTGTATGTGAGAAAACTGGCGGAAAAATTGAGAGCTGTTAAATAATAAATTGAAATAACGATCTATTTTACCATATAATTTTTTTTGGATATTTATATTAACCAACAATAAAATAAGTAAAAAAACTCACAAATTTTATATACATAACAATTTATAACTATTAAAATAACATTACGCATCCTTTTCACATTCAATCACAGTATTTATCTTTTCAATCTTCTTCCATTTTCCAATCAGAATCATCCAGATCATCTTGTATCACTTCATCTATTTCTTCTTTATCATTTTCTTCTTCCTCATTTTTTCTATTCATTACCACCTAGTATATCTTGTTCCTCTTCTTCTTTCTCTCCATTTCCTTCTTGATCTAGTTTATCTATATCAAGAGTTGTTTTTGAACACTGCTCGAAGTGTCCACCATTTATTCGAATGCAACAACGTACTCTGCGCTCAACATAACATGTAGCCCTGTAGATTTCTTCTGGACCCACATTCTTTGCCCACTCTTTAACATATTTCCAGCACTCTTAGCAATATCAGCTGCATAATTGTGATATATATATTCTTTACACAAGTAGATTCATGCTATGAGAACATGCTGGCAAAGTTACTGTCCCCATAGTGCGGAGGTGCAACCGCCTGACACATCATCACTACATAAGCATTTCAAGTGTCATCCAAATACAAAAGTAGGAGCAGTTGTGTGTTTAGTATGTGGAAATTTCTATCATACGAGTGAAATAGTAGCAAAAATCAATGCAGGAAATGCAATCAAACTAATAAACAGCTCATTCATAATATGCCAGGAGCATCCAAATTTTGCACTAACATCAAACTTGCCATATGGGGACTTAAGTGAACAAGCTAGTGCTTTCATAACACAATTCAAACTTGTAAGTAGAGAACAATTAAAACAGGAAATATTAAATGAGCTTGTGCATGAAAAGCAAATTTTAAATGAAAACGATGATCATATGGATGTAACACAGATCAGTGATTTGGATGAATTACAACAATTAAAAGCCCAAAATAACCTATTGAAAGAACTGTACAAAGAAACAAAAGAAAAAAATGAATTGCTCAATGAACTGCTAATTAAAGAAAAACAAAATAAAAATGTAAATACTAACATTATGAGAAAAACATATGTTGAAACAATTGCACTACCAAAACCTAAACCGAAAAGAATACCAAGATTAATAATAAAGAAAAAGAGTAATGATAACATAAACTTAGAAAATCAAGTAGCACATTACTTAATTAAAGACAAAAACATACAAACAAAAAGTGTACAAGTTAAAAATACTGACACAATAATTATCAACTTATAACGGTGCCGGTGGATTTTACCTGCACCGTGTGTCTCCTATCTCTCTCTACCATCGGCGTGGACTCATGGCAGACCTATAGCGCATAAAATCACGTGCCTGATGCCTGCCTTTATGTTTTCAGCATCGCCACCGCAACGAGTAAGGAGAAGGAAGATAGAGAGAGAGAGGCAGTGGCATTGGTCGACAAGAGCGCCTGTTACTATGCGCTCTTGTAAGAGAGAAAGAGAGAGAGATAAGAGAGAAAGAAAGAACACGATTAGTGCAGGCAGGCGCGTGACACTAGCCGCACTTGGCGGTGCCGCGTGCCGCCGATTAGGCAAGTGAGTGGGGAGAGCGTGAGAAGCAGTCTCTCACGCACTCGGAAGTATACTCGCGGCGGGCTGTAGAAAGTGGCCATTAGCAGAGAGAGGTGTGCTGACCCCCCTGCAGTCAACTACAAAGATAAGAGGAAACCGAGACGGCATCAGTATCGGCCCGGATCTAGCCTATCTTTCGCTGAGTTCTTCCGACCACGGACAGATTTGCCTGCAATTAGACGCCATTACCATCTTCGGCGAGGCCCTGCATCGAAGATCTTCAATCGTCAGGTCAATTTCTAATCTCTCTCTCTAATTCTCACTCTACGGCTACTCGCGACTTGTGCGCTGTGCCAGGATCTCACGGGCCGGCACGGCTGGTTCGGTTATTAGCATAAGTTGGATTGTATCGAGTCGGTATCGAGATGGCAAGGCGCTAACGTGCCGGCCATCTCTTTTAGCGATCGTAGATTGTAGTATAGATAAGTAAGGCGCGCGATTGAATGTCCGAACTGTATGCTCAGGGTAGCATGGTGTAATAAAGGGATTTATTAAGATAAGAGGAATGATTATTGTGTCCACCTTTCTCTTTACCTTGTCAGGAGCAATACACCGCCTCCCTTACCTTTCCCCTTCTAAATAATTGGTAATAACGATAGATTCATCGGCATTGTAAGTCGACTCTATTACAAACTGCATGACCGAAGAAAATGTCACAGTATTAGAAAAAACTTTACAAAAAAAACTACCGGCACTTACTGTTCTAAAAGAAGAAATATGTAAACCGATAGTTAAAGTAGTAGGAATTTCTAAAGCTTTCACAACAAATGTAAAAGATATAGAAACTGATATTAATGCAAGAAATTTTAGTCAATACGAAGAAAAATGTAAAGTAAATCATGTATTTACAAATGAAAAAAATAAAACAGTAACTGCAATAGTAGAAGTTCCATCTATTCTACATAAACATATAAAAACCAATAGTAACAAATTATTTATTGGTTGTCAAAACTGCAGAGTCTTTGACGTCATCAACACATATCCGTGTTACAACTGCTCAGGTTTTGGCCACGGCGGCGGAAAGTATGAAAAAGCAGAAAAAGAGCCAACGTGTTATAAATGTGCAGGCAAGCACCAAGCAAAAATGTGTAGTAGCAGCATACTCCAATGTCCAAACTGTATTTTCCACAATGAAACATATAGTAAAAACTACAACATAAACCATAGTGCAATCTACAGCGAATTGTGTGAAGTTTTAAAAATGAAAATAAAAAGGTATATTGAAATGACAGATTATCCAATTCAACCAATTCATCAAAGATATTTTGGTAGAATAAACTTTGAAACAAACACCCGCAAGATATATAACCGTCCAAGAATAAATAACAGTTTATCGTTATCATCGTTATCTACACCAAGTCCAACAGGTAATAAAACCAGGAGTACTAAATAGTTTTCTGCAATATTACAATATGGATAACAATTTATATGATATTATATTTGAAAATGAATATAAAACAGATAATATTGATGATCTAAATAAATATATATGTAAAGAAAATAATATCATTCTATGTATAAACATCAGAAGCCTAAAAAAAAATTACAATAAATTGCTAGTATTTCTGAAGAACCTCGAAAAAAAACCATGTACAATAGTATGCACTGAAACATGGAATTTAGAAAATCATGAAATGTTCAATATTCCAGACTATAAAATATATTACAATGAAAGTAAAATAAACAAATCAGATGGAGTTGTTTTGTATATGAAAGAAGAAATCACCGAAATTACAGAAGTTCTTGAAATAGATAAATTAAAAATAATTAACTCTAATATTACACTAGAAAACAACAAAAATTTGGTGCTGTCTGCTATTTACAGATCTCATGATTTATCTAAATCTGAATTCCTATTGAATCTCAAAGAATTATTGAAAATAATCAAAAAATATAAAAACAATATTTTAATGGGA